ATTTTTTTCAATTTACATAAATGTGTACATGCCTGCCTATGAACCTTCACAGCCCTATTGGCTTGGCTCACCACAACAGTCTTAGTTTCTCATGTGACCCCTTGGAAATATTAATTGCCCACCTCTATTTAATATGTATATGCATACCTTCTTCATTGTTTGGGCTTAAGCAACATTTCCCTCCTCTTTGCTTGATTGAATTATTATTAACTGTATACTACCCAACTCCCAATGACTCAGGATGTCTCACAACAATCAAAACAAGGAAATTACAATAAAAACCAATCAAATGAAAGAAATACAAGATAAAAAAATGATAACAGCTTCCAAGTATCCAAATAAGGAGTAGACTACATCTGGAAAAAAACATGGATCCTGAAAAACTTAATAAGAGAGAAAATATACGATCATATAGACCATATAAATCAGAAGCAATAGTGAACAGCAGAGATCAAGGACAACAAGGAAATAAAAAAGACCATGGAAAGATGACAAAGATATATACTTCTTAATCATGCGTTCTTGATCTGACATTGCTTTCTTTAAAAAAAATGGGGAAAAACAAACTGAAGGCTAGAGGATGCTGTTGAGAAAACAAAATCCTTAGTTTGATAAATTTAAATTTTCAAGGCTATGTAACAATGTTTTTCTCTCAATGGAAGGGCAGAAATCTCCTTTGTTTTGGGTTTTTTTTTAAATGAAGATGACTGTAATCTCTGAAGAATAGATAGAGACTATAAGTAGAGATGCTCTTGAAATGTGAGCCAGTCTATAGTGTGTACAGCTTCACTCTCTGCTCCCTTGGGGTAACAGCAAGATATTACAGATTATGTTTAAGGGGACCAAAGCCTGCAGCTGCATCACATACTGAAGAAAACTGAAGGAATGATTGCTTCCAACTCTTTTCTTTCATTGTTCCCAAGTGTGCAGATGCATACCCTGAGAGGATAAAATACGGAAAGCTGTTGATTTCTCCCTTCCTCGGAAATCTTCATTTCTCTGCCGAGACCAGAGGTCATCTTGAGAGAAAAATTAAAGAGCATCTTCATCTTTCTGAAAAGGCAGCTTGCCCATATTTCCCCAGTTGCATTAATGAGTCTCAAGGAAGCCAAACTTGCTGTATCATAATTTATTGTCTTGAGTCATTTATTGATCAGATTTATCATTGCCTCTTACACCTTATCTTTTGCTTACACGCTTGAAATAGGATTCTTCCCTATCTTTTGGAAAACATCTTTTTAAGAACAACCACTCATTTTCCCATTGATAAAACAAGCATCTTTTTCTACTCGTATAAACTTCATAAACTGGTCCTGACTCAAGACAATAAATGATGTAACAAAATACAGGAAGATCTAAAGACTACCCATGTACTGATAAGATGCATGGACAAACAAGTGGGAAGTTTGCCTGATGCCTGCCCATGTAATCACTGCCAAAACCCAGCGGGATTGGCTCTTTTGCAGTTACATTTTCGTCTGCTCTGCTCATGACTGCAAAGCTTCTAGGTGATACAGCAAGTTTGGCTTCCTTGAGACTCATTAATGCAACAGGGGAAATATGGGCAGGCTGCCTTTTCGGAAAGATGAAGATGCTCTTTAATTTTTCTCTCAGGATGACCTGTTAATGCCGCCTAGCACTGTGTTGGCTTTTTTGGCAGCTGTAGCACACTACTGGCTCATATTTAAATGATTGTTCACTAGGACTCCGAGTTCCCTCTCACAGTTACTACTATCGAGCAAGGTACCCCCTATACTATACCTGTACATTTGGTTTTTCTTGCCTAAATGTAGAACCTTACTTTTTTCACCATTGATTTTCATTTTGTTAGATAGCGCCCAGTGTTCAAGTCTGTCCAGATTCTCTTGTATCCTAAGCCTGTCTTCTGGAGTGTTGGCTATTCCTGCCAGTTTGGTGTTGTCTGCAAATTTGATGAGTTCCCCATCTATCCCCTCGTCCAAATCATTGATGAAGATGTTGAAGAGCACTGGGCCCAGAACAGAGATCACATCTGCCAGTTCCTTGAGAACCTTGGGGTGTAATCCATCTGGTCCTGGTGATTTGAACTCATCTAGGCTGGACAGGTGCTCACTTACCATTTTCTTGCCTATCTTAATGTGTTTTTATTCTGTTTTTTATGGCACTATTTTTGATAGGTTGGTCTGTTTTTTCCCTTTGTATAAAGACAGATGCAAAAAATGAGTTAAATAGTTCTGTTTTCTCCCTGTTGCTTGTCACCTTCTTGCCACTTTCACCTACTAATGGATCAATCATTTCCTTCACTTTTTTCTTGTTTTTTACATGTTGAAAGAAGCTTTTTTTTGTTATTTTTGACTTTGGTTGCAAGCCTTATTTCATTTTGAGCCTTAGCTTTCCTCACTTCATCTTTGCAGACTTGGGCTATTTGCTGATATTCTGACTTAGTTATGTATCCCTCTTTTCACTTTCTATACTTGTCCTTTTTATCTTTCAATTTATCAGAGAATTCTTTATGCAGCCATGCTGGTTTCTTTTGAGAACTGTTATTTTTCCTCTTTGTTGGTATTGTGCTAGACTGGGCTTTTATTATCTCACTTTTCAAAATTTCCCAACTTGTTGAGTTGTTTTCCCCTCGAGGATTCTCATCTATGGAATCCTTCCCAAGCCCTCTCTAAGTTTATTGAAATTAGCTCTATTGAAGTCCAAGACTCTAGTTTGACTGTGTTCTATTGCTTGTGCTTCCATAATGTTGAATTCCAATATTGCATGATCACTTCCTCCCAAGGTTCCTATGGCTTCAACACCTTCTATCATTTCATCTCTGTTAGTGAGAATTAGATCCAAAATGGCTAATCCCCTCGTTCCCTTCTCTACGTTTTGGAAGATAAAGTTGTCTTTGGAATCTGTCTGATTTTCACTTGGTGCAGAGTTTGTCTCCCAGTTGATGTCAGGGTTGTTAAAGTCTCCCATTACTATTGTGATGTACTTCCTACATACCTTAGTTAGCTGACTAGCAAAAAGTTGATCTATTTCCTCTGTTTGGTTGGGTGGCCCATAGTATACACCTATGGCAATGTCATTCCCCTCCCCTTTTATATTGACCCAAATGCATTCAAGACAGTTGTCATCATTGTTGTACTCTATTTCTGTAGGGATGTAGTTATTTCTTATACAGAGAGCAACTCCACCTCCTCTTTTATTTGATCTGTTTCTTTTAAATAATTTAAATCCCTCTAGCTGTGTGTTCCATTTGTGAGTTTCATCCCACCATGTTTCTGTAATGGCAACAATATCATATCTGCCCTCATTAACCTGAATTTCTAGTTCACCCTGTTCGCTGTTCATACTCTGTGCATTGGTGTATAGACATTTGAGTCCTTTATGACTGACCCTGTGTTTACTTTCTACATAACCTATGTGGTGCCTGAGTTCCCCTATTGTCTTACCATCTATTTGGTTAGTGCACTTTGTGTGGCACTCGCTATTAAAAGCTTGATTTTGCTTGACAGCAAGATTGATATTCTTGTCCACACACACATTTATGTTACATGCACTGATAGCCCTATAATTTTTAGATTGCCGGGGACAGGGATGTTCTGTATCAATTAACTCACTGTCCCTGCTGTTTAGTTTAAATATTCCTCCAGAAAAATCTATGAATGTATAGCCGAGTTACTCAGTCCCTTTCTTTGATGGATGCAAACTCATCTCTTTTGTACATTTTTTCATTGGACCAGCTGCTGACATTGTAACTAATATATCCAAAGCCTTCCCCTTTACACCACTCCTTCAGCCACACATTGAATTGTGCTATACACTGGCCTTTTCCACTTTGCTCCTTATACACTGGTAAAATCTCTGAAAAAGTAAGCCTACAGCCTATTCTGCTAAGTTCCTGCCCCAGGCTCTGGAAATCATTCTGCACAGAGAGTACATCTTTTTGGGACAGATCGTTAGTGCCAAGATGTACAATAGCCTCCATATTACAGTCCTTGCTGTCATTCTTGATTATTTTACAAATACGCTTTTTGTCCCTACTGGCAGTAGCACCTGGAAGACACCTGACCTCTTTCGAACCCTCTGTGTCCTTTCCTAAATTTACATCCCTTATAATTGAATCACCAACCAGAAGGTGGCTTCTCTTTTTGAGTGCCTTTCTGTTCTTGCATGACTGATGTGTAATACCTGATTCGCACTTCTCCCTGTCGAAAACAAGTTCTTCATCTCGGACCATGATCCCCTGCTTATTTGAGTTATCATCACAAATACCTTTACCTGTCTCCTTAATGTCCCTATTAAGGTCAGCAAGGGCACTGTATCTGTTGTGCAGGGACACAGCGAGAGCTTTGTGTTTATGGTTAATAGCTCTCACCCTGCCAGATCCCACGGTGGTCCACACTGCCCTTCTCCTGCAAGATCTTTGTGGTAGAGGGGGCTGATAGTGTGGAGGTTCAATAAAATAGAAGGGCTGAACTGGACACCTAATTTCTGCCTGAAGAGCAGAGATTACAGACCCTAGATAAATAATCTGTCCTTATAGACTAGTGATTTGTTTACAGATAGGACAGTTTCCAAGATTGAAAAGGGTAATTTGTAGCTGATAATTTATGGCTTAGCTCAGGGGTCCTCAATCCCCAGTCCATTGATTGGCACCGGTCTGCAGCATGCCAGCTGTGGGATGTAGGCAGCATGCAAAACCTCACCCTCTCCGGTCTGCGGAAAAATCTTTCTCCATGGAACTGGTCCCTGGTGCCCAAAAGGTTGGGGGCCACTGGCTTAGCTTATTTCCACGTAATGTTATTAATAAACTATATTTGTAGCAAGGGATGCTGTGATGTATGAAATCTATCGCTGTAAAAGAGTTTATCAGATGACTCAACTTTATTGGGAATGCCTTCCTCCCCATTCTAAATGCTATAAGAATCCATTGTCTTTTACTTGTTGTACTGAAAGTCCAGTATCATTAGAATCATAGAGATTTTTTGTTGAGGTTGGAATCTCATCAGGTAGCTAAGACTTACTATTCCATTTTCTCTTGAGCCACGGAGTTGTGCAGCCTGGAGATCTAAACTAGTGGTGATTGGCTGGTATGCCCAGAGATGTCTCTTGGCTGCTTATGTTCCTTGTCCCCTGCTGTATGAAAGAAGCATTCTTTTAGGAGCTCCATTGGAAAAATGGCTCTGCAGCCTGATGCTAAAAGACAGCCCTAACCATTAGCAAATGCAGCAGCATACTGATGTAAGAAACCCACCCTGGACCCGGCTGATTTAAACAACTTCCACCCAGTCTCCAATCTCCCCTTTTTGGGGAAGGTTGCAGAGAGAGTGGTGGCGCTCCAGCTCCGACGGTCTCTGGATGAAGCGGATTACCTAGACCCTTTTCAATCTGGCTTCAGACCCGGTTTCAGCACAGAAACTGCTTTGGTCGCGCTGATGGATGATCTCTGGAGGGCCCAAGACAGGGATTATTCCTCTGTCTTGGTGCTACTTGACCTCTCAGTGGCTTTTGATACCATCGATCATGGTATCCTTTTGCGACGACTTGGAGGGGTGGGAGTGGGAGGCACCGTTTTACGGTGGTTCTCCTACCTCTCTGCCGGTCGCAATCGGTACTGGTGGGGGGGCAGAGGTCAACCCTGAGGCCCCTTGAATGCGGGGTGCCGCAGGGGTCGGTTCTCTCCCCCCTCCTATTTAACATTTACATGAAGCCGCTGGGTGAGATCATCAGACAGCACGGGGTGAGGTTTCATCACTATGCTGATGATAGCCAGCTATATATCTCTTCCCCGAGCTCTCTCAGTGAAGCGGCTGATGTGATGGGCCATTGCCTTGAAGCCGTGAGGGTCTGGATGGGGGTTAACAGACTCAGACTCAATCCTGACAAGACCGAGTGGCTTTGGATGTTGTCTCCCAAGGATCATGTTAACTGTCCAGTGTTGACTCTAGCAGGGGAGAATATATCCCCTTCGGAGCGGGTTCGCAACTTGGGTGTCCTCCTTGATCCACAGCTGAAATTGGAACATCATTTGACGGCTGTGGCTGGGAGGACCTTTGCACAAGTTCATCTGTTGCACCAGTTGCGACCCTACCTGGACCGGGAGGCTCTCCTTACAGTCACTCATACCCTTGTCACCTCATGTCTGGACTACTGCAACGCGCTCTACATGGGGCAACCCTTGAAAAGTATTTGGAGACTACAGTTGGTCCAGAATGCAGGGTTAGGGTTAGGGTTAGGGTTAGGGTTAGGGTGATAGTGGGTGTTCCTCGGTACACCTACGTTACACCTGTCCTCCGTGAGCTGCACTGGTTGCCTATTGGTCTCCGGGTCCAATTCAAGGTGTTGGTTATTACCTTTAAAGCTCTATATGGCTCAGGGCCAGGCTATTTGCGAGACTGCCTACTACCTCATAGTTCCCTTCGTCTGGTTAGATCCCACAGGCTGGGCCTCCTTCAGGTCCCCTCGGCGAAGCAGTGCCATTTGGAGGGGCCACGGGGGAGGGTTTTCTCTGTGATGGCGCCCATGTCTTGGAATCAGCTCCCCCTGGAGATTAGGACCGCTCCCACCCTGTTGGTTTTCCGCAAGCTGCTTAAGACCTGGCTTTTCCGGCAGGCCTGGGGTTTATAAAATCTGACCCCTGGATGAATGTTATTGTATTGTTTGTTTGTCAAGTTATGTTGTGTTTTTATTGTAAACCGTCCGGAGTCCTGCGGGAGTGGGGCGGTCTATAAATTTTAACAAATAAATAAATAAATAAATATCTGGGTTCTTCATGGATGATCCTTAGTTTCAAAATATGGATGATTTGGTTATGACACTTATAAGCTAGCAAAAGTGTGCAGAATAAGCTTTTGAAAGAAATGTGTGAGCCCTTCTCACATTTGCTTATGTTTGTCTACATAATAGAGAAGTGCTATTCTGCACCATGCCGTATGTTACCATTTGAGTTTGCTGCATGGGCAGTTATATAATATTATGAAAAAGGAAAACCAGCCCAGCCACAAGTGGCTTCAGGTGAGTCGGTGTATACTCACCACCATGACATCTGTTGCTCATCTGTTATTGCTTGTTGATGATGTCTATAACATTGGCTCGCCTTTGTTTGTAAACCTGACAAATTTTGTTTCTCCATATATTTTGGAATATGTCCAAAGTTCTCTGCCCACATAGAAGAAGAATGAATAATGTTTCTTGAAAATGGGAGGAAAGTGAGCTTTTCCAGTTTCACTAGACAAATTGATTAATCTTAATTTCTTTGCCTTCACAATGGAGCTTCAGCGTTTGGTGTTCTTCCCTAGCTCTGGGTCTCTGATTACACTTCCACTGTTGCCATGAAGATTTCTACCATTATTGTGTCACAGCCATGCTAAATTTAAGAAATTAGGGCACTTTTGAGCCTGTATTACAGAAAACCAAGAGGTTTACAGTGACAGAGAGAACACCATGAAATTTGGTGCCTGCAGATATGTTTCCTGTCATCCAGAAATACTTTTGGGAGGGGAAGCACATTTTAAAGGAAGCCCTAAAGAAAACAGCAGAGAACTATCTGAGAAGGGATCCCTCAAGGTAATTTTGTTCCAGTGTCTAGAAGCCTTTAGATTGCTTAGACATAAAAAGCAGCTTAACTTTGTTTTCAAAATCTCAGCTGAATGAGGGGAGAGAGAATTGTGCCCGCAAAGGGAAGGAGGTCATAATTAAAGTGGTGGCTACAAATGATGAAGGCTATTTCTCTCTTCTTTACCCTCCTGGTTCCACCCCCAGAGAATAAATTGGGTCAGATTTGAAAGTGGCGTTTCCTCACGGTGGATTTAATTTTAGCTCTTGCAGACGAGCTTTTGCATCATAAGCACCCGTGGATTTTTGGGAAACGTGCCCAGTGAGGCTTATCTGCCATGGAACAAGATATGTGTTTATTTCCTATGATAGTATGTTTTCCGTAAACAACCGTGTGTTCCTAGAACCCTGTACCAAGGACAGGATGGAATAAAAGGGGCAACTAATTTTGCATAAATCCTTAGCTATTCAGTGAGGTGCAAGTTCTGTTTAGGGTAAAATCGACATATCTCTATTGTAGGTTATAATTTTTTCCCCAGTTATGATAAAGGAAGCATTAAAACAACTGCAGTAGGAAATCCAAAGGAGAGGAGAAGATATGAGGATATATCACCTGCTGATCTAGAATCAGCAAACCCATTACAGATAACTATCAGCCCTTGTTACACAGCCCCACCCTCGTGGATTAAATTAGCTGAGATACTGGTTCAGGCCAACAGGTCATCTGGAAAAGGGCAGCACTCTTCCCGTTGTTATTAAGCAAATGTTTCCAAAGCAGATGTGGAAGAAAACAGCACTATTAGGATAAGCTGTTTTTTTAACTACAGTGTAAGAGATTCAGGGAATGTTGGCAGGAAAGAATGAAGGTGATCAAGATGTTGAAACATGTTTGAATATAATAGGACATTGATAGGATTATTGAGATCATGACTGTATAGAAGATTTGGTCTACTCGGGATACGTTGCTGCTAAGCATCTTATCTGTAAGCTTCATCTAGCATCACCTTAAAGAAATTATCATTTTAGCATTACATTGCTCCTTTTTAAGTGACAGGCTTGATTTAAACATGCATTCCCTTGGACATTTTTGCTATGACAAGGATTTAGATCTGGTGGGGAGAGGTATATACCATTTCCGTACATCTTGCTACTGCTTTAAATCTGCCCAATTAGTTTTAGTAATCACTCAGTGTGTTAAAAAATTAAGAACAATTAAGGGTGCAAAGAGTTTTCAGATGCGGTGTTAAGTACAACTGCTGGCAGGCAGCTGTCTGATCCCATGTGTAGTTGGAGAGGCAAGAGAGAGCACAACAGAAGCAGAAGTGATGAAGCCAAAGGCTTGCAAAATAGGAAAGCTCTAAACTTCACTAGAGAGTGACTGCCCCCCTGGAGTTGAAGGCGGGCAACATTTGAGGGACTGGGAGCTGCAACCTGACCACTGCTGCTAGTTTTCTGGCTGACTGCAGTTGGTTTTGATGCCACAACAGAAAACAGAATAGCCACCCATTTGGGTAGTTAAGAAGGCAAATGGCTTTGAATCCATCCTTAAACCTCCCCAAATGCAGGAAACGATCCCAAGCCCTGCTGCCAAATTTCAGTGGCCAGATGGCTAAATTTTGGAGTCATGACTTCAGGCCATTTTCCTGGATTGTGGAGGTGGGAGGGGCAGGAGATCTAAAGGTACTTGCTGCCAGATTTGAGGTTGCTAAGAGACACATGTGTTTTCTCTTGTCCACCTTGCCATGGACCATAGTGGACAAAATTCAGTGGCCTTTTGAAACTGTTTCTAGACCAGGGATGTCAAATTCAATTTCACTGAGGGCCGCATCAGCATTATGGTTGCCCTGAGGGGGCTGGGTGGGTGCAGCCTAATGGATGGAGTGGGTGTGGCCTGCTGGGTGGGCATGGCCAGTTCTACATCATTCGCATCAAGGGTGCCTATGGGGGGGCCTGGGCAGGAGTGGGACAGATCTGAGGGTCTCTGGCAGAAGAAGATGGGACCGGGGAAAGTGCCAAGGCATGGTCCACCGGGGCAAGGGCCAAGATGGCCACCACAAAATTGTACATTGGCTCCCGGCTGGCCTGGGCCAGGGCCAAGGCAGAGAGGGCCGTTCCCTCACTGTTTCCAGGATGGCTTCGCGGGCCATATGAAACCACTTTGCGGGCCGCATCCGGCCCCCGGGCCTTGTGTTTGACATGTCTGTTCTAGACCAATTCCATATTATATACTGTACTGGAGAAAGGTCTTGAGACTCTTGACAATCTGGAAAATTAGTAAACAAACAGCAGGAAACCAAAGAAGTGGTATAAAATCTATTAATTAAGGATTGCTTATTTTACATCATCCCAGTAGGTGGTAGTACTCAAGCAAACATGGCTTGTCTCAAAGTGGAGTCAAGTATGATTAGGAGTTAAATGGAACACCACCAAGAAACCTCATGTCTCCATAGAGAAGGAAAGGAAGGGAAGGAAAAAAATACACCAAAACATCAAACCCAAAAGAACCATCATAGAAAACAGTAGTGGTAAATCATTTCTATAATTATCAAAAAAACAGCAGGGATGAGTCTATGTAGTCACCAGGCATCATGTTTGATCTGAGGGTAACTTGACATGTAACTGATAATCAAAGACATGGTAAGATTTCTTTGATGCAAATGACTTCGTGTCTGTTTGATTATTTGGACTAGAAAGGGCAAGATTTTAAAAATTTAAAGAATTCCAGAAGACCATATTGTACCAAAAGCATTGGAGCTTACTAAATTGGATCTTTCTTTGAAAGTGCTTCCTCAAGATGTAGAGAATCTTCCCTCTAATTCCAAAAAGGAAATTTAATTCACACATAGTTCGGTTGAGAGCCAATGTCAGAAGAAAAATAGGTTCAGTTGATCACCTGGCACTAGAGTGACTATTTGAACTGCAATCTCTTGCTTTGGTACTGTATTCAAAAGTAGCTTATCCTGATGCTGTGGTTTTCTTCTGCAGCATTTGTCAATAACATTTGGAAGAATGTCACACTTATCTAAATGGTCCACTGATCTGAACCAGTATCTCAGGTACCGGTAGTATAGTCTATAGGTAAGGGTGGGGGGTTGCCCATTCGAAAAGCAAAAAGCAGGAAGTCCTTGTTAATTTGGTTCTATTGAAAAATAAGGTTTTGCTCATGAATAGAAGCACTGTCTTTAACTGACCTTGGGATTGCTCAGAGATCTCAAACGTAAAACTTTCCATTGTAGTTTCCTCTGTGCTAGAAATAATCCTTGTGCATATATGTATTAGATCATGTCTTGTTGAAATTACCCATAAATGGATGTGGTTGGCAAGCCAAAACCAAACAAATCACATTATTGCTTAGCATGTTATGTGACTCTAGTTCTGCCATATTGGCTAACACTAGACAGAGGCTAGACAGTCACTTGTCTGTGATGGTATAGGTTCTCCTGTTTGAGCAGGAGGCTGGACTAGAAGACCTCCAAGATCCCTTCCAGCTCTATTCTATTTTACTACTGTAAACAGCTTTACTAAGAATAGATATATTCTTTGTTTGGAATACAGGCGAGAAATAGGCCTTCTGCATATGGATAGTTTGGTCAGTCAAGCTGCTCTAATTCAAAACTTACGAAATGTTCTCTGGAGGCAAGACCTGTGTCTCTTGGACAGATGGCGTGCATGCTTCTTTTTTTTTTTTCCATGACCTTGTAGTGCTCAGCGATTCCCTCAGCTACTGAATAAAGACACATGGGCTATGGCTGGAAACCAGCCATGGAATGACAATTGGTATTTGCTGCCAAGATGGCAACAGTGCCAGAGTAATGGTTTAGGTAGCAGCATCACAGGGAGTCTGGAGCTTAACTTTTATTATGGGATGCTCTTTAAAATTGTATCTCATTTTGCCTTTGGTTTGGATGCCACTTTACAATTTGATTTAAATATATTTTGTTATTTAAATATATATTTTTTATTTATCATATTTAGAGACCTCCCATCTCCCTCACAGAGTGACTCTAGAGGAATAAATTTTGCTATATTATGATTTAAATATACTAGGCTTTGCTGTTCATTGATAGATTGGGATGTCTCAACAAATAGTATATTCCATATCTATGTTACTAGGCTCTAATATACTAGTCAGTGCTGTGCCATCTGTTTCTGGTTTTCTCTTTCCAAGGTACGGGAGATCCAAAATCTGGATCCTATTCTGGGTTCCAGAAATGTTCTGTTATAAAACATCTAGACTGGGCTTGGTGACTGATCTCAGTTTTTAATTTAGATGAAAAATGCCAGTTTCACCTGAAAAACCCATCTCATTTGAGAGTTTACTTTTTGGGAAAAGAGAAAAGAATGGAATGAATGATCCCTTCAGCTAATGATGCTTTGTTGTGAGCTGGCTGAGAGGATATATATCTGGCATCAGGAGAGTTTGCAGTGTCTGAGCAATGATAGTTACTTAACATGCAGCAAGCATTGTGCCCAGAGAAAAGTCGATGTAGTTTTTGTGTGAGTGAGTGTGTATTAGCATGTAAATGTGGGTAGGTGCTGTCCTGATTGATGGCAATTAGCATTTTCTAACGGGAACAGATGTTCAAATTGTCAGGAGGCTGGTACCTAATGCCCACGCCACCATCTGTTCCACTGGGCATTGCCATAGGAATCTGTGTTATCAGTGTGTTATAAATGTGTCTGAGGAATCCTTGTTGTGGTCTACTGAGTAGTCCTGACTGAATGTGATTTTTTTTTCCTTTTGAAGAATAATAATCAATAATACTTCTGAGATTGTTAGCATTGGTCATGGTATCTTACAGAACTGAGGTCTTTCACCTGAAAATATGTGTCTTTTTACTGAGCTACTACTGAGAAATCTATACAAAATGCACAGTATTGACTTTCACCTTATGTGGTTAGGGATATATATTTGACCCTTACTTTTGCATGCAATGGTTGATGCTACTCTTTAGGATGTTTTCTTTTTTTAAAAAATGTGTACTTTATACCCTGAAGTAAGTTGTGATTACCAAAATGTATTAGAACTCTGTTGAAGCATGCGAATTGAAATGGCTACCTAGTATAGATTGCATACAACTGTTCATGTCCCAATGACTAACAATCCACAATATTTCATTGGCATCAATCAGTATACCGTTAAATTGCCTTCAAATAAAAAGTGGGGAAATTTTGGATTTTAATTTAATCCCTTTGATTGATTGAACTTGATGGATTTATGGATGACAAACTGAGACAGTTGTATCCAAATTAGCCTGTGAAAAATTTCAGAAAGGCCTTTCAGCTCTTGCAGAATGTTGCTAAATGCAAACAAAGAGGTTCCCGCTATATTGCATATGCAGAACTGAGTAACAGATTAAGAAAAAAAAAATCTGACAATCTGCTCATTATAATCTAGTTCTAGGAAAAGGAAGGCTTGTGATGATGAAATGCTAAGAATTATTAAGTAAGATTACTTACTTAATAGTACTTGTGTGGCAGGCAGGATGTATCTGTACCTCTGTAAGAGTTGCAGGAACCATGTGCAGGAGACGTTGGTCTCCCAGAAACAATTGATTGGCCACTATGAAAACAGTGTGAGACTATTATTAACTTGGGTTTAATCCAAGAAGGCTTCTTATGTTCTACAGATCATACTACAAACAACTGATAGTTTTGCTACTCCGCTTGGCAAGCATGACCAAAATTGGGGTGCTGTATCAGCTGTGGACCATATATTACCCATCCCTGTTTTATAGGGTCATAAATATTGAATAGTGTTTTGGGGATTAGGATTTTCTCCCCTCCCAAATAATAAATCTGATGAAAATTATAAGGAGATGAGAAGTGATTAGGAAGCTCATTTTTCTCCTGCCATAGTATACCTGAGTTGGAAAGTGCCCAGCGAAAAGAACAAATAGATGGCCTAAAACAAACAAGAGAAAAACATTTTCTCACACACTATAGCTGACCTCTGGAAGTCTGCCATCAGAACTACTGATGGAAACAGTGTGCGGTTCAATCGAAAGGAAAGTGAAGAGGGTAGGCAAGATAATGGAAGATAGGAGTGATGTGAATCTGATTAAGTGGACCCACAGAAATGCTTGATATGTGTTCCTTTCAGGGAGAAAGGCCTTTTTGTCGTTTTAAAGTTAGTCATCTCATCCCTGTATCTCATCCCGGTACTGCTATATCACTGAGAACATGTGAGAGGTTATGCAGCATCACTGCTCTTCTTGTCTGATATTTCAATATTCTGTATCTCAACTATAAATGTACTTCATCTCTCTCCCTCTCCCTTCCACCCTCTCTCCCTCTCCCTCCCTCTCCCTCCCTCCCTCTCCCTCTCTCTCCCACCCTCTCCC